AAAAACGATCCCAAAATATAACTTTAAAAATCTGCAGATCGCGGACTTCGCGGGCCGTGACCCATCTCGCGGGCCGCGGCGAAGAAGCTCCGCGGGCCGCGACCAAGTCCGAGGCCGCGGGAAAGTCTGGTCTGAAGTGCTGTATGACTGCGGCATTTTGTTCGCCGCGGCCGCGGTGAAGGAACCGTCGCGGGCCGCGACGAGTAAAACTGGGCACTGGGGAGGTTTGTTCACCGCGGTCGCGGGCCGCGGTGAAGGATTTCGGTGATCCGGCTGTGATTTCCGGCTCGAATCTACGCATCTGGACCCAGAATTGGATTCCGTCTTTTCCCACTCGACCCCAACTCATCCGTCTAGATAATTATCCTTGCGTGACCACTTCCCGACCGAAACACCTATCCTGCACACCACCACCGAAAAGAAAAAACGCAGAAAATCGAGAAAAACAAACAAGAAAAACCAAAACGAGCGAAATAAAGAAAATGCATGACAAGACTCACAAATGGACCAAAAGCCAAAAAGAAATGCCTAGAATGGGGAAAAATAAACATAAAATAAACACGAAAACACTAACAAAAATGGAACGAACAGGAAACCTTAAAATACATATAAATATGTTGCTTTTATATGAATATGTAAACAAAATATATTCATTCATTTTTAAATATCAAAGATCGTAGCAAACGTAGAAGAATAAGTGTATCGAGGAATAATACGTTTGAAGGTCGTAACAACAATTCAAGCATTGTGATTGATCTTACTATTGATAATCCACCCGAACCTTCAGTTACAAAGAGGAAGTGTGGTCGACCAAAGAAATCCAATACCACAACAAAACCAAGGATGTTAGGTATAATGCACTCATAGTCGTTTCTTGGTTTTATTTTTATAAATAAAAAATAAAATATATTCTGACCTATTGACTAATTTTATTTTCACATAATATTGGGATATGGGTGATGCGAGCTTTTGTTGCAAATATTGTGGACCGGTATTTTGGTATGTTGAAAGAAAATCGTCTACTAAAGTTGCAGTTGGTCCAGAATACAGTGGTTGTTGCGTGAATGGCATCGTAGAGCTTCATGTCCTAAAGCAGCCACGTGATTTTTTGAACAAGCAGTTGCATGGGGATATTAGAAAAAGTAAGCATTTCCAGGATAACATGCAGTCATACAACAACATGTTTGGATTCACTTCGTTGACTGGCAAAATTGACTCACATTTGAACAGAGGAACTGCACACCAGTCTTTAGTTTACATGGACAAAAATTCACCTCATGGGTAGTTTACTTCCTTCATATGGTTCAACCCCCAAGTTTGCACAGTTGTATATATATGATACGAAAAATGAAATATCTAATGAATCAATGTTTTTAGGTGAGGTTCGTTAACTGATTACCTTATTTATCTTTTGTTTGGAAAAATGAGTATAACCTATTATTAAATGCCTAATTCATAAACAA